CAATGCAACCGTAGCATGTGTCAAGAAAATTCCAATTTAATTAAAATTCCATACGCGGTAACATGATGCACTTGTCGGTGGCTAAAGTAACTTCGTTTGTAAGTCTTGTCTGAAAAAGTTTTAGAATGTGAATCTCTTCACTAGCTTCAGTCTTATGCTCACTTGATCTAGTACTATTTGAAGTTGCCGATCATGTACTTCGCTCGGTTTGTAGGATGTTCTCTCGTAAGACTAGTTTTTCTTAATGTTTTTCTAAACGGTAAACGGTCTTTACACGGTCGCCCTTCGTTTAGCGTTTAGGCTATTTACACGGTGTTTAAACGAAGTTAAACAGTCTAAACGGTTTTGTACTTTAAAAAAAATACATATAATTATATATGTCCATGTAAAAAATAAGTATTCTAGCATTTATACATATTTATCCGAGTAAAAATCAATTATTTTGGTATGTATATATATTTATGCATGTGAAAAGAACCAAATATATATATTTATGCATGTAACATATCAAGTGTACACATTTATAAATATAATAAACTTAAGTATATAAATTTATCCATACAAAACTGACCTAGATTTACCTCGTGTTCGCCTAAACAGCCGTTTAAACAGCTGTTTAGCCCATTTAATGTTGTTTATCTCCATTCCGTTTAGGCCGTTTAAACCGTTTTCCCGTTTTTTGACAGTTTAAATGGTCAACCGTTTAATTTCCGTTTACCCCCTAAACAAAACAGTTTACCACCGTTTACTGGCCGTTTAAACGACCGTTTAATCCGTTTAGGCGAACACTAGTTTTTCTTTTTCCAAACCACATACAGATGTACGCACACTAACCTCTATGGCCCCGTTAGCTTGTTTGAAAAAAAGAAGCCAAAACACTGTAGCGGCTGGTTGTGTGAGAGAGAAATACTGTAGCGGCTGGTTGATGAATAGTGCCACTGTGAGGAGAAATCAGCCAGGCGAACGGCACCTATAAATACACGCATGAGCACACATCTTACCCCCACGAGCATATTCGAAAGATTAAGACTGAGCCGACAATCTCGAAATGATGAAGTCACGATGAGCGCCTCACTGTTGACAACATGTCGCCTATCAATGAATGAGCATTATCGTTAAATTCTGGAATAAATCTAGAAAAATATAAGCACTCACGTCATGTCGACGACTTAAATCTGAGTGTGTAGGTTCCACCACAAAAAACACAACTAGCTAAACTATGCTCTGTTTGCCGCTTGATTAGACAGAAGAAGGGATCTATCAAATAAGTGGCTAAAACCTTAAGGTGGACATAGTTATGAAATAATTGGGACACATGTTTTTTTCCTTTTTTTTTTGAAAGATGGACATAGATGCTCAAGTATATGCACCTATCTTTACCACTATACACACGCACACAACTCTACGTCTATAAACAACCTCAAGAGATTATTAATAGATTTTAAAATTGACAGATAAAGGTGTCTCACTATCGATGGACATATCCCCTGTCACTTTACTATAACTTTTTCACGTCGAGAACTTAACGAATGAACCTCAAAAGGAACCTAATTGTGCTAGGCTGGGTTAGCATGTTGTTTTCTTCATTTTTACGATATTTAAATATCCATCGTGCATAAAATTTCTGCTAAATTCTGGCAAGTTCATGCATATAGCAAAATATTCTTCCGATAATATCATGCGGTGGAAAGGCTTATAACCGTATGACACGTTGAGCCTTACGAGTGAAATGACATGTTATCATACCGCGTTTGTTGGACGTGTGTTATGTGTACATGTATATGCTTGGAGAGGCAACGTTTGACCTTCATAGATTAACAAATGATGTAACGCAAGCAGTGAGCCGGTGACCGACGACAGGTATGCATAACCCAGTTGGGTAATCAGTAAGATACAACTGACCCGAATTTATTTGCGTTCGAGGCATACATTTGTTTGAGGAACGGTTTGGAGTTGGTGTTGTGTGTCTTGATGAATGATTCTTGCTGTTCCTGATTTATGGCAGACTAATTGGCCTCGGTACGCATAGGGTTCCGTGTTAGTTCAGGATGTTGTACTGGATTCATACCTAACTAGAGTAGTCAGAGCATGGCAGTACTAGCTAGTGCGTCTATAAAAGCAGGAGCATGATGTACAGTTGCACATCTCATGTCCTTCAGATCAGTAAAACTGTAGTGCGCCAGCTGATAAATTCTCCATCCGAGGGGAAGCTGATGCATGCAGCATGTTCAGTTCAGCAGCCTTTTGCTATGCAATTGCGAATACAGGTTGATATATGTCTCTGAGTGTTGAGTTGTGACGAGTGATTGCTAGGAGATGATCGGCTTTAGTCAATTTTGAAGACTAACCATTGCGTGACTATATATGCAACTTGTCTCTTGGTTGTGTTGGTGTACAGGTGTAGAGCACAGATACGGTCGATGGGCATGGAGAAGGTCAAGTAGAGACAAGCCATGCTGATGTATTGGAAATGGTGAAGGACAAACGTGAGGCTTGGACCGAGAGACTAAGATGGCAGAAAGACTGACCGTGGTGGCTGACACTTGGGGACAAGCAAGAGCACATGAGTAGGAGTAGACCGTGTTGACCAAGTCATGCAGAGGTGCTAAAAGACTTGGTGATCGGGCGGTCGAGGATGATGGTGACACATGTCCAGATCGTGGATGAGATGTAGCGGATATGCCTGAATTTTTTGTTTTTCTGCCCTTTTTTTGAAAGATTTTCACAAATACGCCCCTGGCAGTATCCTTTCAAAAAATAGACCCTGACCTTGGCGCCGTGACAATTGGCGCCGAGGTTACACGTCTCGGCGCCAAAGCAATCGGCGCCGAGGTCCAGGGTCATTTTCTGCGTGTCGTTGACGTGGCTGCTTGCGTGGCTCGGACGTGGCATGAGCTCGGCGCCGTGGATCTTGGCGTCGAGCTCGGCGCCAAAGATCTTGGTGCCGAGCTCGGCGCCAATTACTATGGCGCCGAGCTATGAAAATTGACAAATTTTAATTTTTACCATGACTTGAATATTGAGAAATATGGCTAACTCTAGATTTTTTACAGTGACTTGTTGTTTGATCACTTAAAACTATCCAGAAATACTTAAGATAAAAATAATCTAGGGTTTATGTTCATGAACTAGCCTAAAATGCTTCTAAGTGTTGAATCAATAGTTAACTCCTTTTTTCATGATGCTGTTTTGACCAGGAGTAAAAATATAGTTTCTTTTCTAGATATAAAGTTTGACCTTTAATAGAAGTTGTTGTTTGAGTTGAGTACAATAAAATTTGCTTTTGGACCTAAACCTAAATCAGTCTTTAACACGGCTGAATTGTGATGCTATTTTGGCCCCTCTAAATCTTTCTCCCTTATCGTCGGTAGTGAATTGACATGTTTGCGATATTTATCTTCCAAATTTGTAAAGCAACTCAATTTGATACCGTACTACGAGTTTGAATACTCTCTGAGGAGATGACAACAAAACAAGTCTCGTCAAGTTTGGACTTAGCCACGGTAAAAAATCAGACTTAGCCACGGTCATAAATTCTAGACTTAGCTATATTTCCACGTACTTACAGATCATGACGTGCTTACAGGTGAGGTGTGTTGTGTCCCTACTTACATGCCTACACATGCACATATGGTTTGTTGCATGCACCGATACATCTCCGGTTAGCAATGCAATAGACGCATAGAGCCGAGCCCTGCATCGCCCCGCCGTACTGTAGGAGCCAAGCTCTGTACCGTGTCGCCCGGACGTGCTGTAGTTCCATTTGGTTAAGCAAATTTTTTATCTTGAGTATTTCTATATTGTTTTAAGTGATCAAACAGCAAGTCACTGTAAAAACTCTAGTATTAACCACATTAATCAATATCCATGTCATGGTAAAAATTAAAATTTGTCAATTTCATAGATCCACGCCGTAGCAACTGGCATTAACATATCCATAAGAATATTACAAATGCATTTATCATTCATTCTTACATGAAATCCATACATTATAAAACACAAGTCACTAATAGTTTCCAAAGTGGTAGGGGTATTACTAACTCCAGTGTTATGAAACACCATATGTTCAGAATGGTCGAGGTCCCTTCTTTAGCCTCCCAAGTTTGCAAAGATGGATGAGCGGCACAGACTCACAGTGGTGTACACTGTACACAACAGCCTGAAAGCCTCACCTTCACCTTGTATAGCAGTCCCCTGCAATGACACATGATAAGATGGACAGGAGAACTGGATCAAAAGTTCAGAACCAACTAAATATGATTGGTGAACAATACCATTTGTTCTAAGAAAAATATCAATTATTGCACCAATAAATGGAGACAAGTAATTCCACTGTCCAGTAATCAGGTACTTCACAGCTTACGGTCTAATCTATCTCAAAAAAAAAAAGCTTACAGTTCAATCTCTATCAGGAGCAGTATATAGAGAATTAAAAATGAAGAATTCCTGGGAGCATGAAAGAAGCACCTGCCAGGAGCAGGTGAGCCTTGCCAGCGCCAGTGGCACAATTACCATGGTCACCGCTTCCATGTAGAATCAAATGTCAGCATTATTTGAGGAAGAAAACCAATCCAACTAAATAGGTGACGCTCATAGCCAGGTTTGGCAATCTGTTCACACCAAAGAAACAGCAGAAGGAAAATATAGTATGATAAATACTTGTCAGAAAAAAGCATGACATAAACAATAAAACACCAAATGAAAAGTATGTATTAGGAAAATTTAAATACAAACACAGATAACTTGAAATGGATTGATTAAAAAACATTGCAATTGCAATTGTAGATAATTATTGGATACTCTGCTAGTTGGGCTGGATTCTTGGTTCTTAGACTTTGGATACTTGTTTAGGTCCAAAGGTAGAATGCTGCACATATAATTGAATCGAAAATTCCTGCCATTAACTAATGGTAAATAATGCCTTCATATATATGTAAAATACCATCATGCATCATCTATATGTGCAGTGAGATCATGAATTTCCAGTACAAAATAAGATCCTACGTGGCAATTAATCCAATGAAAACAACAGCACGATCAAAGACGACGGAGTCGCCAGGCAGGAGCTCCTTGCTGTGGACGAAGTTGCTCCAGCCGGTGGTGAGCAGGTGCCGGCCCGGGCTGCCCCGGTAGATGTGGCGGAACATCCACTCGACGCCATGGACGTCCGTGGCGGAGATGATCTGCAGGGGCGGGTCGAAGCTGTAGTCCAGCTCCGGGAAGATGGACAGCGTGCAGAGCCGCGCCACGGAAAAGCCGCCACCGGTGTTGACATCGGACTGCGTCAGTGTCTTGGCGAAAGACAGCGGCCTGGGCTGCTGCTGCTGGCCGTCCCCATCCCCTCCCCTGCTCTCCTCGGCCAGGACGTCGCCCACGTCCGCCACCGGCTCCCAGGGGCGGAGTGGGACGAGGCGTGTCTTGGTGTACATGTCGTCGGTGTCGGGGTCCGCCATCAGCCTGACTGCTGCGATGCGGCACGCCACGAATAGCGGGACGCGCACGCCCGCGGCGCGCAGGTCCACTGCGGTGGCCCTGTGGGAAGTAGTAGACCGTGGCGCCTGCCACAGCTGCGGGTGCACGTCGCGCCCCTTGGGCTCGGTGGCGCCACGACCGGCCTCCGGCTCCGGCGATGGGAGCACCCGCGCTGCAAACGTGAGCGTCGTCCCGAGCCGCGTGGGCGCGCAGGCTCCAGTAGACATGACTAGACCATGTGTCTAGTCCACTAGGAGAGCTGCTTCCGGTGAAGGATGTATATGTATGGAAGCCGCCCAGTGTACTAATCGGCGCCGAGCTCGGCGCCAAGACCCACGGCGCCGAGAACATGCCACGTCCGCGCCACGCAAGTAGCCACATCAACGACACGCAGAAAATGACCCTGGACCTCAGCGCCAATTGCTTTGTGCCGAGACGTGTAAGCTTGGCGCCAATTGTCACGGCGCCGGAGTCAGGGTCTATTTTTTGAAAGGATATTGCTAGGGGCGTATTTGTGAAAATCTTTCAAAAAAAGGGCTAAAAACAAAAAATTCTACGGATATGCTTCTCCAGGTGGTTTGGGCCTCAAAACCACTGGCTGGCGGTTTTCAACTTTGGGCCTCATAATCTGGTTGGAGTTCTGGTGGGAACGGAAGGAGGCACGTAGCGTCATCGAGAAGGTTGCGTCGAGGCAAAGCAAAGTCATGAAGATCCCGTGACCATCTATGCTTGGATCTCAAGTTGGACCATTTTGCCCCTTGGGTTAAGTGGTTCAACCAAAATATATAAGGGCATGTTAATGGTTGTATAATAGCTCTATAAATAAGAGGATTACTGTTCCTAACCAACCATCTCTCCAACTTTAGGTTTCCTAGTATCTAGTTTTCAATTTCCAGTCTAGAGTCTTGAGAGAAATCCACAAATGAGAGCTTGAGTCCCTCTATCTGTGTAAACCTTCATCTATGTAACATGGCAAAGGGTCTAACCTTGTTCAAGAGAGAAATAAAGCAAATCCTTTCTCTGAATTTCGTGGCCAAGTTCTTGTGTTCGAATTGAATTGGTTTTTCCTCTTCCCCTCCCCTTCCCTTCTCCATTTTTCTGCATTTTGAGTTCCTATAGTTTTGGGGGTGTTTTGAGTGGATGGATTCATGCTAAGACCTGTGAGGAACATCTATGCCAAGTGGTTTGGGCAGATTCCTCATGAGCACATAGATCCAGCACTTGGAGGAAAAATTGAGAAAACCCCGGTTTGACAGCTTGTTCTTTGGGCTGACCTGCAAGCTTTGATCTTTTGGAGCTCAAATTTTCTAAACACCTTGTAAACATCCTAGGGAAGGTGTGTGCAAAATTTAGCTCAATTGGAGTATGTTTGGTCAAGTTTTGTCGTTTGTGATATTGAATTCGACATATATGGGTTTTCCTTTATCTCCGTCTATGATACTTACCTACGACGCTAGTGGCCATGGGGCGCCATGGCTGTCTACGCTCCTCCTATTGTCCCTTTTACAACGCTTGGAGGCACAGGTGTCGTGTGCGCGTGGCGCTGGCCACACGTCCGGTTGCACGTACTATGGTATTATTCATGGCTTGACGGCTCAATTGCCTGTGATATACATGATTGCTATTGATGGGGCTTCTGTATTAATATGTGTATTTGATCAATGATGGCATTATTGATGGCTCAACTTCCTATGATATGCATGATTTCTATTGATGCTGATTCTGATGCCACTTGATGATCAAAGATGCCAATAACCCTCATCTCTATTGGGCACCTCTCATCATAAATAGGGCCAAAGAGCGGTATGTCTTCGTACCAAAACAATCACACATGAATATCACAGTGGTATGTCTACAAACCAGTAGAGAAAATGGACATGCCAGATCAATAACCCATTTGTGAAAATGGATACATCATGGATGGACAACATCTAATAGTCATCTTTGATATGGGTATATCAGAGACGAGTCGTAATAGTATCATAGATGGGCAAAAAACTGTGTAAGAGTTTGAGTCTGTGATGACCAACTCACATCACAGATGTGTAATAAACCGTTTGTGATAACAATACCATAGACGGTTACTTAACCTGTCATTCTTAAACACATACCATAGATGAGTCCTCACACCTATTGTGACATATTAACCACAGATGGTCCCTTAACTATCTTCACAAACGAGCATTCTGCCTGTCTATGATTATTGTTATCACATATTAGCCATATAACTATCTCTACTTTGATTAATCACAAAGGAGTGAGTTATCTGTCTGTGAAATGGTCACATCATAGACACTTACGCAAAATGCCTATCTATGATGCAGTTGAGGCGCATCTATGATTATGGGATCTAACATAGTGCTTGACATCTCTTCACCTTTGGTATATCATTTATGTGCTTTAGATGATTTATATTGTGGAAGTAAATAAGGATGAAAGGACCTTGATGTTGTCTAAAGCGGCAACTAAAACTTTGCAGTTGATTAGCAAAGTTTGGAACTTCCATGCAATTTTGTTGCGCATAACTTCTGCACAATCTCACAAAAATTTTCCACAAAACATAATACCATGAAGTTTGCAATGCCTATAGAATTCAAGTTGAAACAACACTTGTCTAGTAGCAAGTCTATGAAGTACCTGCACTCACAAACACACAACCAAGAATATAAAGTGGAAACAAATATTGCAATTTAAAAAAGATAGATAGGAGATTTGTTTCCCTGAAGTTCAAGTTCCAACTTCAACCCTATGTCTCCATTGATATGGTGGTGAGCAACTCACAAAGCTTATGCTCATACCGAGTTTCTCTCGACCACTTTCCTCGTCTACACTAGTTAATCTCTTCCCTTATGGGAGCAAGATTGCAACCCTCACAAACTTTAATTTCCTGTGGCTCACCAAAAGCTCAAGAGCTCGTCGGGTAATGCCTAGCCATCTAGGAGGCTTCCCTCCAAGAGTAACAAATGCTCCACGGAAGATTGAGGAAGTCCGAGAAGTGCTCAAGATTTGGATTGCCCTTAATTGCTCTCTAACTCATAATCTCCCAACCCAACACTTAGATTTTTCACTAATTACTCATTCTCACAAAGAGAGGGTTGGGAAACATCTCACAAGGCTTTGGTAGGCTCTAGCAATCACAAGAGCATCAACAACACCTCCAAGGGCCGTGGGGTTGGTGTATATACTCGAACCCTAAAAACTAGCTGTTGGACCTCCAAGAGTGTGGAACTTCTACACTTGTGCATGGAACTTCAGCACGCGTGGAACTTTCGCAGGTGTATAAAATAGCAGAGCTCACCTCACTAAGAACGCCATAACTTTTTACTCCAAGCTCCATTTATGATGATTTTGGACATTCCGAAAAGCTTATTCAGAGGGCTTTTCATTTCAACCAACAACAAGCCCCAAGATCAACAAGTACAAGTGTTGTGCCATGGGTTTCTCTTATGTTAGCACTCGATGTTCGGTTAGTTTGAGCACTTGAGACTTGTATAACTATCCGTGTTGCATCCTCCTTGATAGTACGATAGATCTATATTCAAGATTAAAAGGGTATCATTCCCACTTGAGTCTTCCATGTCTTCATATGCCATTTCTTCTCAATATCTCTCCATAAGGGTTGTAACCATCTTTGTCCAATTCTTCTTAATATCTCTCCATAAGGCCCTTGAGCATGAGACTAGAACCATTTGAACACATATGAGTTCAATTAAAGGATTCAAGTCACTTCCACGTATGATTCAACAATGATTTGGACCTCCACACAGTATGACTCCTCATAGCTTCATTAGTGCCAAGACTTAGTGCAAGTACTCTCTTCTTCACCACATCACGCAACAAGCTACCACTATGTAGCGTACAACTATGTAGATAGGATTGATTCGACAACATTACAGATATCGTGGAGCTACATGCGTGAGTATCAGAGTGCGGGTTGGCCTTGGATATAAAAGGATAGTCCTGCTGCCTTGTGAAAAGGTGCATCCTCCACCCCCAGGACTCCTTCCCAGCTAATAACAAGAACACACCCAAGCTCAGGCTCACCTAGGATGTAGGGTTTTTACCCTAAGCGTGTCCAAACCTTGTTAAATCCTCACTTGGTCAACTTTACAACTTAAGGAACACTCAAATGACGCATGTATCTATAGATTATATCTAGAGTTTCTCCTTAAAGTATGGTTTCCTTTTTAACAAACATTGCCAAATCTAGACATAGTCAATATATAGAATGCACTATATTTTAGTATAAATTTTAGATGTCACAATGCACTATATTTTAGGACTGAAGGAGTAAACTCTAGCTTAAGCTGGTCTCTCCGTGTTGACTCGCCCACACAAGGGCTTTATCTAATTTAGATGCAAATTTATGGATTATTCTAAATATATTTCCTATAATGACAGAGTTTGATAACTTAGACATACACTACATGAAAAAAGATTTGTAGGGATATGGCCCTTTTCACTGTAAGGGTGGCTGGCTCTTTAGCCGCCCCTACAGTGGCGCTGCCAGGCCACACCCTGTGCGCTGGACACCAGCCGCCCCTTCAAATGACACAGTAGAGGCGGCTGGTGTCTCCAGCCGCTCCTATAAATGGGGGTCATTTGTAGGGGCGGCTGGTGATTGAGCCGCCCCTACAGTTTGATTTTTAGGGGTGGCTCAATCACCAGCCGCCCCTACAAATGTGTACAGTATACGTAGCAGCCACCACCTTCTTCCTCCTCAGGTCACTCACTCTAATCCGAGAAAAAAAAGGTTGGGAGGCCTTGGGCTCCTCCCAAAAATTGCTCTACTAAGGGGGGAGGTTTTGATCTCAATTCCTTTGGTGGGGAGGTTGTATAAGGTAAGAAAATTCTATTCCAACTCTTTAATTGAAGTTTTAATGGTTGGTTAGTGAGTAATTTGATTATTGGTTTTCTCTCTCCTCCATGGTGCTTGAGCTTTGTATGTAGCAAATTAGACCCTAGATTTGAAGCTATTAGTGTAAATTAGGTAGAGAAATGAGCTTACACTCTTCATTAGTCGATTTTGCTTGATTTTAGACCCTAGATTACACCCTAGTTTGATTAAAGCAAATGCATGAGATCTAGTTCTAGATCTAGGTTTTTGTTTTTTTTATTTTTTTAATGAAATTGGATTTTGGGTGGCATGAAAGGTAGTTTTTTATACCATTTCTTTGTGATGGTATATATTAACCATTTTATATTTCATTTCAAATATTTATGCGTT